GGAACAAAAACCCCAAACCCCCCTAAACTCTAAACCCTAAGAAAAAAACCCTAAACCCCCAAAACCCCTAACCCCTAAACCCCAAACCCCCAAAACCCCAAAACCCCTAAACCCCAAACCCTCAAAACCTCAAAACCCCTTGAGCCCCGGGCTGATATCCAGGGATTTGAGCGCTTGCAACTCATCGAGGCGCTTTGGGAGCTCCGTGAGGGGATTGGTCCTCACATAGAAACTTACTTCCCCCAATAAGCCAGGGAAGCTACCCTAAACCCTAAACCCTAAACCCTAAACCCTAAACCCTAAACCCAAGGTTAAACTGTCAGGTTGCTACTAAGCTATAAGGGCCCAACACGTTTAAAGGTTGGGTATTGGGGGAACTAAGGGAACCCCAAATGGCAAGGTTCAGGGGGGGCAGGGCTGAGGGTTTCTTGAAGAGTTTTTTCTTGACTTACATGAAAGATGTTTTCTAGAGATTGTGATTTCCACGTTTACCCGGGTTTCAGATGATTTCATAAGGGAGCTTCAAAAACTCGCGGGGTTTAGGGTTTAGGGAGAAATTCGTCAAAGGTTGCTCCTCCAGGTATTTTTTCGAATGCTCTCTCTCTCTCTCCCTCTCTCTCTCCCCCTCTCTCTCTCTCCCCCTCTTTGGTGGCTGCATTGGGCTCCCACTCTGAACCTCCAACAACACACCCAGGCCATAGGGTTTAGGCTTGTTTAGGGTTTTTAGGGTTCAGGTGTTTAGGAGTTTAGGGTTTAGGATCGTTTAGGGTTTACGGGATTGTGATTAAGGATGTAGGTTCTGAGCTTCGGGGCTTAGGGGTGCTATGGAGGGGGGTTTAGGGTTTAGGGTTTTGTTTAGGGTTTAGGGTTCAGGAGTGCATGCAGTTGCCACCATACGGTTCACAGGTCCCAGAACTAACACCCCAAGAAAGTCAGGGTGACTCCGCAACCCTAAACCCCGATTATGAACTGATGGTCTCAACGTCCGGTCTCGGGAAGTACAGCTGAATTCATAATGATAAGAGGGTTTCATGTAGGGTTCCTTTAAAGGGTTCCCAAAGGGGTCTCTAAGGGCTACTATAAGGGTTTAGGGTATATAGGGGCCTTTATAGCTAGAATAGGGTTTCATAGGGTTCCTCGAGCATTCACTCAACCTTGAACATGGCTGCGTAAAGCCCATCAATGCCGAATTCTCAAATGTTAAAAGTCTGGCGCCCTGAACCCTATAACCCTACCGGCCTAAATTCTGAAGGCCTCACAAAAGAGGCCCGAAGGCTAGGGTGGGGCTTCGTGGGGTGGTTTAACAGTTCAGGGACGACAAGGGGCATTGTTAAAACCATATGCCCAGACCTCTATAGCAGTCTCCCTTTGGTTATACTTTAATCTGGGTTGTTTTCTTAATTGGGGTCCCTTTTAGGGTCCTTATGATAAGGGTGGCGTACTACATTGGGGACCTAAAAAGGGATCCTATTTTAGAGAACTGCCCATATACCAACGAAACCCGTTCCAATTCATAAGTCCCCAGGATTGTAAACCTTCTAAAAGAAGCCTTTGAAGGCGCCCTCAAGGAGCCCTTATAGAAGCCCTACTCAGAACCCATCATAAACCATATAAAGCACCATAAACTCTAGAGAACCTAGAAACTCGGCAGAAACACCAGGAAAAAAAAACACCGACAAAGCCCTACAGACACACCTGAAGCCTAAACCCCTATACCTTAAACCCTGTTAGAAACACCGTAATAGCCCTAACCCTAAACCCTAAACCTTACACCGTAAACCCTAAACCCCTAGAGCTCGGAAAGCCTCAGGTTCAAGGCGCACAAGGCAGCCAAGTCCGTGACGGTCTCGGGCAGTGACGACCTTAGCAAGGGCAGAGGATATAATGCAGGGGCCTTCATAATTAATAATTAGAAAAAGGTTGTGGAACCCTCCAAAATATTATTGGTAAGAAAATAAGCTTTTTCATTACATACATGTCCAGACATGATTGTGTGCGGCTTTTGGTGTGTGTATATATATTATATATATAGACACACATAATGTATATGTATCTATCTGTAATTAATGTATCTATGACGTATATGCAAGGTGTGCAAAATACGTGTGTTCATAACGTGATATGTGTCCAGTTGCGTGTGTGTGTGTGTGTCTGTGTGTGTGTGTGTCTGTGTGTCTTTCTGTGTGCGCCAGTTTGTGCGTGTGTGTCTCCGTCTGTCTTTGTGGTGTGTGTTGTTGTGTTTATGTCCAACCCGTAGGACTAAGGCCAGGACACGTAGATCCATTTACCGACTCGGGGTGTGGTGTCAGGCTGACGTTTAATCCCTGTTGCAGTCCTTCTTTTCGTGGTTGCACCGATTTTCATTATAGGGTCATAACCGACAAACTCAGTTTTCGGGATGACCACAACAGGTAACTAAAATGGAGACTGTGTACGGATGCCGGTGTGCGATGTACGCTCTAACAGGCATGCTGCTTTTGTGATTTAGAGACTTATACATAATACGAGGTTAGGGAGACTTGGGCCCAGGGGACTTTTGTAAGATGTCGGTTTCAAGGACTCTCTAAAGAAATCCAGGCAGTCCTTTCTAACAGTCTTGTACAAGCACTTTAGAAGCCGTAGCCTGTACAACCCAAACACCGAGACACTTCTCCGAGCACTGCAGCAGCTTGGGATGCCCACAGCTGATTCTGGCTAACATCCAGCCTGCTTGTGGTGAAGCACCGTCTGGGGTTTCCGGATTTAAGGTATGGGTTGCAGTAGTTTAACAAATATGTAGTGTAGAGCTTGAGCTTTGGGGGTCTAGGATGTAAGGCTCCCTTACGATTTCAGCACCTGCATATTTACAGGGTCTAAGGTGTCGATTCTGGTCTGGACGCTTATTTGCCCCAGAAGCCGGTGTAGGCTTCGAACAGTGTAATATAGGGCCTGCACAATTACCTATACTATTTTGGTGTTTCCTTACTATAATTAAAGTACAAAATACCCCTAAACCCTATTCTAATTTATAAGGCCCCTATGTTAATGCAAAGTTTTTCAAAGCACAGGGCCTCCCTGCACATCTCTCGGGTGTAATTATCAAAGCCAATCCAAACCTTCCAGGAGCGAACCTAATATAGGCGCCTTAATAACTAAAGTAGGGTTAGGGTTTAGGGTTTAGGGTTCAGGGTTTAGGGTTTAGGGTTTAGGGTTTAGGGTTTAGGGTTTCGGGTTTAGGGGGCCCGATATACTATAATGATAGTAAGGAGGAACCCCCCCAAATATGATTGAGAAATATTTAGGCCCCTACATTAAACACTAATGATAAACCCGAAACCCAAACCTTCAAGGAGCAAAGCCAGAAGCGGAAGGGTTTTAAGAAGGTTTGGCCAAACGGTGTTTTTTTAGAAGGTTTGGCCGAGGGGTCGTTTGATTTGCAGCAAGCTATCGGGGAAGGCCCACCTGCCGGGTCTTTTTTTTGGCAGCAAGCTATTGGTGAAATCCCATTCGTGTGGTCGTTTTTTTGCAGCAAGCTTTGGCGGAAATCCCATTTGTGAGGTCTTTTCCAGCAGCAAGCTATTGGGGAAGTCCTTGTTCTGGGGTTTCTTTTGCTCCAAATTACTTAGGGCTATGTCTGCGTCGAAGCTCGTACGCGTATGTACTAGTCACACGACCGCTATAACAATCTTGCGGCGTTGCAATACCTGCATCAAGATGTGTCGATTTGTCTCCGTCGCCATGCCTGCGCAATCTTGCGCGTCAGGGACTGCGATAGCGGTTTCAGCCACCGGCAGTGCATGGTATGTGACTCGCCCGGGTCCCACCGGAACAGCGAGCGGCGTAAGGCAAAGGCCGTGCTCCGGCGCTAGACTCACCGCCCGAATCTGGTCCCGGCGTTTGGAATGCTGGGCTGCAGTGGATCTGCCCATGAGTGTTAAACGTGAATCCGATCGCACCACCGGGTCTTCTCTATCGGGCAGGTCGATGAGTGAATGCGGTGGGCGTTTGAGCAATTTTTGGCCGATGGCAGTGACGGCCTGTCCTAGGGCTTGGAAAAATGGCAGCCGGGCCAGGCGACGAAGCTCTGCAGGTTTGTTGCGGGAGGCCGCTTGCTTGTCGAGGGTTGCCACTAGCGCCGTCCGTACTCCTGAGGCATGGTAGGCTTCGATCGATAAACTGCGTGCCGCTGGCACTGCCCGGTTGTAATCGGGTGTACGATGCCCACCAACTAGCACAGAGGACGTGGCCGTCGTCCGTCAACATGAGTCATTCGGTATCGCTCGCGAATGGTGGCAGGCGTGAGCTGGGAAAAGAAAGTGCTGCACACGTGAGACGCCAGTTGCGCCTGCCCCCAGCCCTGCCGTGCACGGCTGGCCTCAAGTGTGCGAAAGAAAAGGAGCCAGAAATGATGAAATTCGGTATCAGCGTTGTGCAATGAGCGCCGGCTTCAGTTGCTGCATTTGTTGCTTCGGAAGACCCCAGAGCCGAGGCTTCATGTTGAGCCACAGATGCGCGAAGTCTCCGGCGCGCATGGACTCAGGAAGCACCGACTGCCGTGCATTTTCAATGCAGTGCGCCCAGTCACCATGGACCTGACGGATCTGCGGGCCTGCCAAAAGAACGGGTTCTGCTTGTAGCTTGAGACCGAGGAAGACATCAAACGCTATCGTATAGGCCTGCCCGCATTCGCTGGAAGATACAGCAACAAGTACCTCTGAAAAGTGCGTGCTCCAAGATGGCGGTTGGGCGCCTGCCTGTCGAGACTTGTCATACTCTTTTGAAAGCACACCGAACGAGCAAGGAACACAAGAATCAAGGGACCAGAGTACCAGGGGCCCAGCGGACCAGCGGACCAGGGAACCAGCGGACTAGCGAACCAAGGGCTTAGGCAAACCATCCAAGACCCAAACCTTGGCCAAACCTTCTAAACAACAACCGGGACCCAAAGCTAGACACTGCCCATAAAGCCAAAACCAAAGGCTCAAGGACAAATCCTGGAGACTGCTCCACAAGCGCACAGCACCAAGCCATAAATGCCCAACAGAAGGGTAGTTGTCAAAATTATGGTCCCTTTTGGAGTACCCTAAATAATAGGTGCCGGGTCATAATAAGGACCGAAAAAGGGACCATATATATTTGACAACCACCCAGAAGAGGAGCCCTGATGCGGAAAGCTGCTCTACATCTCCCAAAACATGCAAACCCGAAGCACCCCGAACCCAAAAAATCACAAAGCCCTAAACTTTAGGGTTTAGGGTTTAGGGTCTAAACCCCTCAACTCTAAACCCTCAACCCCGAAACCCCTGAACCCCAACCCCCAAGCCCTAAACCCTTAGCCCCACCAGCACCCCCCAACTACCCTCTATTATACCCTCAATACCCACTATTAAGGACCATAAGGGCTCTATTAAAGGGTACTTGGGGGGTGCTGGCAGAACCGCAAGCCTTTACCGGAAAGCCCGGCCTGCTGAGCTTCGCGAGTTCTCCCAGACCTCGGGCAGGCTCTGCGGGCTTTAGGGATTTAGGGGTTTAGGGGCTTAGGGATCAGGGGTTTTAGGGTTGAAGGGTGTAGGGGTTTAGGGTTTCGGGCTTGGGCTTTAGGGTTTAGGGGAGTAAGGGTTTAGGGGTTTCGGGATCAGGGGTTTTAGGGTTGAAGGGTGTAGGGGTTTAGGGTTTAAGGGTTTAGGGTGTAGGGGTTTAGGGCGTTTAAGGGTGTAGGGGGTTTGGGTTTAGGGGTTTAGCGGTTTAGGGTTTAGGGCTTTGGCGGTTGGTGTTTTACCCTTCTCAAAAAGCCACAGTTCAGTATTCGGAGTTTCGGGTTTAGCGCTTGGGCTTGACAGTTTCGAGTCTGGGGTTACCCAGAAGAGCTCCGGGGGGAGGGACGGTTTAGGGTTTAGGGTCGAGATTTCGGGCTGAGTTAGGCAAAGGGAGTGGGTGTCAGGAATATCCGTGATATCCGTGTTTGTATTAGGATGTACTTCTGCGTTACGTCGATATGAACAGGCCCCTCTACTCCTTGCAACACTGCCAGACCCCCGAGGCCTAAACCTTGCAAGAGTCCGATTAGTTTATGGTTTAAGGTTCCCTTAACCCTAAACCCTAAACCCCTAAACCCTAACCCCTAAACCAAAACCGTTGAGGTTTTAGGACCGGGCCCATGAGCAAAAGCCCACAAGACTCCTCACAACTTAAGCCAGAAACCGGATCAGAGCTTAGGTGGCCTCAACCAGCCCCGATCACCCACCAAATCAACAGCGCGCCCTGAACCCTAAGTCCGAAAGCCAGACATCAAATCCTAAACCCTAGACACAATGATTATATAGGGGCCTTAATAATTAGAATAGGTTTTGGGGCCCATCATACTCTGCGTATAATAAGGCCCCCCCCCCTCCCAAATAGTATAGGTACTTATTAAGGGGGGGGGGGGCCTATATAACTCAAAGAGCGACACTAAAAACTCACAAGAAGACGCCGACATCGTGGGGACCCTGACAAGGCCACGACTTGTCGGCAGCTCGGGGAGCAGGTTGGCAGACGCATCGAGCCTCGAATTCGGGGAAGTCGGGGTGGGATGGGGTTTAGGGTTTATAAATTTAGGGCTTAAGGTTTAGGGTTTAGCGGGGGCGCTCTTGAGTCGAGCTCGAAAAGCATGCAGACAAGAAGCATAAAGCCCGAACCTAAATTCAAAACCCAAACTCTTTGACCCTTGAATTAATTCTCAAAGCTCCCTTGTAGGAACCCTTTGTAGTAATCTTGGAAGAACTGTATTCAAATCATGCAGGCCCCTATACTGACGCCCTTGGAGGTCAAGTCAACCTAAAACATTCAAGTTACCAAACGCCTGGAACTCAAGCCCAAAAGCACTCAGATTTAAACCGTACAG